ATCAATAATTTTTTCCGTCTGAGAAAGTGGCTTGGTTCCGTCTGAGAAAGTGGCTTGGAAGCTTAAGGGAGTTTAGAGGTGTGCAACGTAGATCAATAATTTTTCCGTCTGAGAAAGTGGCTTGGAAGCTTAAGAGAGTTTAGAGGTGCGCAACGTAGTTCATTAGACTTTCTGTCTCAGAAAGTGACTTGGAAGCTTAAAAGGGAGTTTAGAAGTGTGCGATGTGAAGAAAATATTGGGATCCGTTGTATCATTATGAGAAAGTGCAAGGAATTCGGAAAAGGGGGCCCAAGGGGGGCTGAAGTCCATTAGAGAAAACACTAACTCTAAGGTTAACCAACCAACCAAAGCCCACCACCACCACAATAAATGGCCTCAGAGATCACCGGGGTCTGCCCGGTATATTAAACGGGGTCAGAGATCACCGGGGTCTGCCCGGTATATAAATTATATCCTAGCCAACTTCGTGGTTGGCGATTGCTCCAAGCAAGCGAAAATCACACTGTATTTGGCGTCTCAGCACCAAGGTCTCTTCCCTCTTCCATACCTAGCAACCAAGGCAGGGATCTCTTCTCTACTACCATAGAAGGCATCTGCAACTGAAGGTTGGAGCAACAGGGTCTCTCTGCAGCCAGAGAGAGTCAAAAGCTGAATTAAACTCCACCTGATTCGCCTCTCTTTTTTGCCATATCAACTGTGGTCTTCTTCGCCACAAAACAAGGTCGCTGCAAAGGCAATGAAGCCAGGGATCTCTTCTCTACTAATACTACCGGTACTAGAAACATGTGGTGCTGAAGACTGGAGCTGTAGGAGCCAATTACAGCCAGAGAGAGAGAGCAAAGGCTGAATTAGTGTGTTTTGGTAATTCCACCAAGACAACACTGGAGCTGTTGAAGCCTTCTTGTGTCTTGCGCTTCAAGAGAAAAAAGTACTGGTCCATACACCACTACTCCAATCTGCTGTGGCCAAGAAGTGCAGAGAAAGAGTCTCTTGTGCATATACTAGCCATCATTGTATTTCTCCTACAAAACAATAAATACCCCCCCACAATCCAACTTCCGTGCTGCTCGCCGAAGCGAACGACGAGTTGACCCTTGGAAGCAATGAGTGACGAGTCGACCCAAGAACAAAGCGATGAGTGACATGGAGCGACGAGTTGACCGGAGATGCCTCAAACATCCTGACTGACTGCCGGCAAAAGAGTCACAGCTCCCTTCTGCTATCAAAAACGAGGAGAGGACAGCCACCGGTACTGCCACTTAGTGATAGGAATGGCCATTATCAACTACTATTGACCCCTGGGGACAGTGTGAGTGTGAGAAATACCCGTCGGTACAGTCTCCCTCTTGTGAGAAATACCCGTCGGTGCAGTCTCCCCTGTATTGCTGCCAGTACCAGCACCACTACAAGCACAGGAAGGTTGCTGGCATCCATTTGGTCCTTGTCAAAGCAGCTCAGAAGACTTCGGCCTTGATCTGTTTGTGCGTTTGATGACGACTCATGAATATCCCAACATCCTGTTTGATCTCAGAGTTGCCGCATAAGACAACTACCCTCCACAATCCAAATTCTGGAGACTCAAATGAGAGATAGAGTGATGCTGCTCACCGTATCTACACGAAGGGACGAGAGAAGCACAAGCAATGAGTGACAGTCGACCGAAGCATGAGACAACGAGCCGACGGAAATACGTCGTCCGAACATCGGTATCTTTCCACATCGGTATCTTTCCATGGGATCCCATCATGCCAAGTAGGACGCTACAACACTTGCTACAACTAGCTAGAGTGACCGAAAGATGAGTTTATGGCATCTTGCGGCATGGCATACCAAGGGACAAATTTGCTACCTAAGAGGACGCAGCCTGTACTGTCCATCCGAATCATTGATTCAAGTGAGGCCTAGGAACTCCCACAGAAGCACCTCTTCGCATGACTGTACGTAGATTCATCCGCCCATCCACGGTCTCGCCGTATCGGTACAGAGTAAGACATATTCACTCCTATCTGCCAATGGATGAATCTTCCCGAATAACAGACAGATGAGGAATGTTCTTGTTGGTGCCTCTAAACATCCCTGATAACCACTTTGAACCTACCGCTCATTCATAGTGTCGGCTGATCGATCGTAGCCGTAGCGAGTTGTGCTTCCGTGTCGGTCGCACCTTGATTTTCACTTTGCTGTTGGGAGTTCCTCTCCACTGGGAACTCCTTCCGTCGACTGTTACTCGTTGCTTCATGCTTCGGTTGCTTCGTCGCTATCTGGTAGTAATTCCTTCGCCATCATCACCAGCCTCGAACGATGATTGGGTGGTTAAATGGCAGAAAAGCAGAGGTGAATCAAGTGGGTCTATTACAGCTTTTGGCTCTCTTTGGCTGTAATCAGCCCCTGCTTCTCCCGTCTTCAGCTGCAGATGTCTCCTGTGATAGTAAGGGTCACAACAGTATGCTGGTTGCAGCGGTAGGTTGGCTGTAGCAGACACAACAGGGATGAGTTTGTATTGATGGCCATTGGCTGTCAATTTATTGCATGGTACTGTGAACTTCCGTAGATAATTTCCCTACTCTAATCCCCCCCCATAAAGCTAGAGTGATCTGCGCATTTTTAAAAAAAAGACCGACCATTCCGCGGAATAAAGGACACCGGAGGTGTAATAGATATACCGGGCGAGCTGACTAAAAAAATGGGCCGGCATAGTAATATTGTTGAAGTTTGGCTGAAGGTAGTGTCATTAGATTTTTCCGTCTGAGAAAGAGGCGTGGTAGCTTACGGGAGTTTAGAGATGTGCAACATCAGACGTTAGATTTTTCCATCTGAGAAAGTGGCGTGGTAGCTTACGGGAGTTTAGAGGGGTGCAACGTGAGACGTTAGATTTTTCCGTCTGAGAAAGAGGCGTGGTAGCTTACGGGAGTTTAGAGATGTGCAACGTGAGACGTTAGATTTTTCCATCTGAGAAAGTGGCGTGGTAGCTTACGGGAATTTAGAGGTGTGCAAATGTGAGGAAAATATTCAGGATCCGTTGCTATAAAAGAGAATGTGTAAGAAATGTGGGGGCCCAAGAGGGGGCTTCGTTTTTAGATAAACTCTAACCCTAAGGATAACCAACCAACCACCACCACAATAAATGTGTTCAGAGATCACCGGAGTCTGCCCGGTATATATTCTCTTCTCAGGGCTGGATATCGAATTTGTACTATTAAAGCAGGGAATCGAGAGAACACATGTAGTTGAGTATGCCACAAAATTCCCAACCTCAGAGTGTACTTAGAAGAGGAGTTACCGGCCATTGAAGATTTCAACCACTCCACAGCGAATTCTTTTTCACTGCAGATTAAGACCATATGACGTCACACGTAGGCTCTAGTACTGAGTCTACGTAGGATCCTACGGTACCGGTACGATGGTCTATCGAGTGAAAGCTAGATGGCGCTGTACGGTCTCCAAGCACATGAATCAGCACATGAAAAGCACCTCTATTGAAGCACCTCTATCCACTCCTATCTTTCTTCCTCGCACCTCTATGATACCGGTATGGTTGGCAGCCAGCACCTCTGTTGCGTCCTTCCTCTATGGGTACGACTGTACATCGTAAAGGTACGACTGTATGGTACGCTACTAGTACCAGTATGGTATCGACACTGCTTCGATTCCGCACTGCTTCCTCTATCAATGCCAACACTCAACACCACCACACGGCTTGAGCAATGGAACAGGGTCTATCCTCTAGCTAGCTATGCATAGCTACTAGCTAGCTAGAGTACCACTTGCTAGCTACTAGCTAGGTTGTATCGTATGTACCTGTTACTATAGAAATTACTGTACAAATACAAGAATATTGCGATGGTCTTAATCTGCAGTGGGTCTTAAAGTGCAGATCACTCTAATCTAATGGACAATCTTTGCGGGAACAACTGTAGGTCAGTCCCGCCCGGGTTACCCTTCGGCCAATTTAAATCGAATAATTCGAATAATTCGATTACTACCGGGAGTATTCTTGCAAAAGAGCCGTTGCCCCACTCGAAAGTCGCAAACGTCTCTTCCCGCATTACTTTTTCATAACTAACTCAACATCGCACATTCACACACACACACACACACACACACACACACCCACACCCACACACATCCAGCCCATCGAGGTATTGGATTTACGGTTTAGTTTAGCTTGGTTTCGGTCTATACCGTACCAGCTCCTATGTGTCTATTTTCGAAATCACCACAAACAGGGTACCCTTGCTTTTCTCACAGCCTACCCGGCTTGTATCTTTTGCCATCCCCAGCTTGCTCCACTGATGAAGCAAACAGCGAAATTCCTAAGCTCAGAATTTGGAAATCAGCAAGCAACGGTATACCCCATGGATAAACATCCAAATGGTAGATTCGTCGTAGATTAACTCTTAGTAGTGTCTACACACATCTCACACAACATCACACATCTCACACAACACTCAACGTACACACACCTACACACACACACAGGTCCGAGAAAGCAACTACTGTCGACTTCACCAAAACCAACATGCCCGTCTCTACGCGACTTCAGAAGAAGCGGCTTGAAGCCATGAATCGGCGCTCGCTACGCCGGTAAGTGAATCGAAGGGAGGGGTCGTTTGTCATCGTTGTGAATCGAAGGAAGGCGTCGTTTGTCATCGTTGTCCGTGCTGAAATGAAACCAACCGTCTTTTTCGTGTTCTTCCAGCTATTCCCGTCAAAGCCAGATCACATCGGATCGTTTCACGGATCCCCTGAATCTTTGCAGCGTGATCCATGAGCTTCCTTCGAAGACTCCTCGAAAGAAGAAATCCAACAAATTGAAACGGGCGAAAATCGGGGACACGCCCATGGCAAAAGTGATGGAGTCGTTGTCTTTGGAAACCAAGTCGCCGACACCTCATACTAAATCGAATCGCAGCACCATGGCGGGGGCCAAGGAATCCAAGGCAAAGGCCGATGACAAGAGTTCGGCAAAGAAATGTGTGCGTACCAAGAAGATGAAACGCACGGCCGAACGTCAAATTACGAAAGAAGAGGACGAGGACCGTCATGAGGACCTACGGAATGAAGAAAAGCAGGAGGCCAAGATTGGTGGATCCTTTGCCGAGGCCGATCCTTCTACGAACGAGCTGAAGACACGAGTATTCGTGAAAGCTGTGCGTCCGAAACCGTCCAACGCCGGTGCTTCCACCGCTGCTACTGCGCCAACCGCCCTTGCCAGCCCTCTTCGAAAGGCAAGTGATAAGTCGGACTCTGGAAAACCCATAGGATCGGCTACCGCGAGTGCTGGTTTTGGCTTCAAGTTTGGATCTACCAGCAGTGGTGTTTTGGGGGGTGCAGCATCCTTCAAGGAATGCCAAGAGCCAGTTTCTTTATCGAATGGTTATGTCTTTGGTGGTGTGTTTGTGTCTTCGGCAGCCTCCAAGGAAAGCCACAAGCCAGATTCTGCTGGTTTTGACTGCAAGTTTGGTTCTAGCAGCAGTGGTGGTTTTGTGTCTTCGGCAGCCTCCAAGGAAAGCCACAAGCCAGATTCCGCTGGTTTTGACTTCAAGTTTGGTTCTAGCAGTGGTGGTTTTGTGTCTTCGGCAGCCTCCAAGGAAAGCCACAAGCCAGATTCCGCTGGTTTTGACTTCAAGTTTGGTTCTAGCAGTGGTGGTTTTGTGTCTTCGCAGCCTCCAGGAAAGCCACAAGCCAGATTCCGCTGGTTTTGACTTCAAGTTTGGTTCTAGCAGTGGTGGTTTTGTGTCTTCAGCAGCCTCCAAGGAAAGCCACAAGCCAGATTCCGCTGGTTTTGACTGCAAGTTTGGTTCTAGCAGTGGTGGTTTTGTGTCTTCGGCAGCCTCCAAGGAAAGCCACAAGCCAGATTCCGCTGGTTTTGACTGCAAGTTTGGTTCTAGCAGCAGTGGTGGTTTTGTGTCTTCGGCAGCCTCCAGGAAAGCCACAAGCCAGATTCCGTTGGTTTTGACTTCAAGTTTGGTTCTAGCAGTGGTGGTTTTGTGTCTTCGCAGCCTCCAAGGAAAGCCACAAGCCAGATTCGCTGGTTTTGACTTCAAGTTTGGTTCTAGCAGTGGTGGTTTTGTGTCTTCGGCAGCCTCCAGGGAAAGCCACAAGCCAGATTCCGCTGGTTTTGACTTCAAGTTTGGTTCTAGCAGTGGTGGTTTTGTGTCTTCAGCAGCCTCCAAGGAAAGCCACAAGCCAGCTTCCGCTTCAAACGGGTTTGTCTTTGGATCAGCAGCAACCAAAACTTCCTAGTCCAGTTCCGCAGCTACCAAAGGGTGGGAAGACTCCAAGCCAGTGTCCACTTAGGATCCTTCGAGAGCCGCTTCCCATCTAACAAACTATACCATACTGGTACCTTTGACTGACTGAGTCGAGAGAATTCAGCGTGTCACCCCCCGAGCACCCCAAGTAAGAAACCGGCACTAACTTGGAGAGGACATGGAGGGATATCGCATCACAACCAAATTCAAAGCCGCGGCGGCCCTCGATCCAAGAACCCAAGAACAATTCAAGCTCCGGCTAGCATAGCATATATAAGTACCAGCTTCTTTCCAGCTTCCTTTAATTAATAAAGATTCAAGTTCAAACAATACCACTACGTAGCATGCATGCATACAGAAGGATTTCACATCCAAGTGTGACCTTGTAATCTCAGGGCACCAAGTGCAAAGCATCCAAAAGTTAAGCCTTTGTGTGGCAACGCGAGTAGCTTTATGAATCTGTTGGCTTCTTCGAACCAGCTCGTCGTTTTGGTCATAATGTCTGTACGCGGAGCTTCTTCTCAATTGTCAATCGTAGCGGATCGGTACATTTCTACGTGGCAACCCGGCCATTGTCGAGGTTTCTTTCTCGGTTTCTGCTTCCGCGGACACGACACTGTAAGACCAGTTTGCTTCCCCTCGATGCCAACAACTTGAAGCCTCCCAACAAGCTCAGAACAACGCAAAGCTGTCGACGTCCTTGGTGCGATTTGTGTGTCGGTTGCGCCCTCTTGAAGACCCATTGCTGGCGCCTTGATTGGCTAGCAGTTGACGCTCTTCTTTCTTCCAGCCTTTTGCTGGTTCCCTTTGGTGATCTTACTGGTTGATGGAACTGCTTCTACAATCTACTCAAGTTGATTCGTTAGTTAGGTACTAGCTAGTACTGTACCAATGCCTCGACAATCGTATATGATCAGTGGTGGAGGCGGCAGCCACGGGGGAAGTGGTGATGAGAGGGGCTTTGAACGCCCTGCTTTGAAGAACTCAAAGAGTGCCTCGACCTACTCAACAACCATGAGTCCCCGAGTGCATCCGAAATCCTCCTTCTCCATGAGTGAAGCAGGGGGGCGACTGGGCAGTAACTCTGGGAGTTTGGGGTTCTTTAGGAGTCGTGGAGGCGAACTCCCACTGACCAATCAACCACCTCCCGAAGAAAGCAACCACAATAATTCTAGTAGTAGTAGCAATCGACACAAGATGAGAGCTGCCGTGTCAGGAAGAGAAAGTGCTGGAGCGTTGCCTGACTGGTCACGGAATGCCCCTTCTCCTTCTGACTCTTTCAATAACAACATTACTCCGTCACCGCGCAAGAGAACGGGTTCGGCGCACGATCAACACTCGCTTCATGGCTCGAATCACCATCCACACCAATCATCCTCCATGACAATGATGGAACATGGACATGGAGAGTATGACCACCAGTACGACCCAGTGGAAGAAGACCATTACTCTTCTGGTAGTAGCATCAGAAGAACGTCCATCAATGAACTGGAATCCTCTCAGTCGACAGCACTCCGACAACGAAAACCCATGGAAGGAGAATACATGTACCACTATCAGCAGTATTCCAACGGTAGTAGTAGTAGACACAACAACAACAACAGTCAGAGACAACAGCCCAATCGAGCCAACTCCAACAACAGCACAGGCCTAAAGAACCGGCATAGACTCATCCGACTAGACAGCAAGACCATGAGAACTCTGGTCCGAGTCAATCTCACTCAGATTCTGCAAATGGCCATTTTCCTTCTCGTCACGTTCCTGCTCTATGACAGCCACCACAAGGGCAATCTCATTGCTGCCAGACTCAAAGAATTCAAGTCAGAAGAAGCAATGCTGTTTCTACATTTACACAGAATTGAACAACAATCCATTCAGTTACATGAAGCACTACAAAGATTCGACAGCACCAAAAGCAACAACAATAACAACCAAAATGCACCCATTCCACCCACTAGTAATGAAAACAACATACCAAACAAGAGTCTAGCAAGGGACACTAACAATAACAGACAACCACAGCAACAAGGACAACAACAGCAGGCACCCAACATTGACTCGGCATTGATACAAAAACAGACTCAACAACTCATGCAAATGGAAGAGGAGCTCAGTCATGAAGTAAGAACCCTACAAACGAGAATCCAACACTCGGCTGTCAGATCCATCGTCCATGAATATGGGGAAGGACCCGTCCAAGTCATTTGGGAGGTGCTACTGGATGGTGTCACGAGCAAGGTGTCCATCCTTCTGTGGCATGACACTCCACATGCCGCATGGACATGGCTCGAGCAAATCTCCAAAAAGCAATGGGACGGATCTCAAATTCATCTGGCAAACAACCGGATCATGAACGTGGGGTCCGTCTACACGGATGTTTCGGAACAGTCGCGACTCGATTTCATTGAACGATCACAGCAACGACACGAAGCATGGACGGTAGGATTGGCCGAACCTCAACAACATGGCAGTTCTACTGGAACTGGCGGTGGACTACAAGTATTCATCAACCTACAAGACAACACGGAATTCAGCAAGCACAATGTTTGCATTGGAAAAGTATTTGATGGATTTGATGTGCTGCACAAAATGGTAGAGAAATCCAGACAAATGCAAGAAGCTGCTGGTGGAGGACAACAAGGGCTCGCACCCATCACGATTCGAACCGCAAGGGCTTCGCACTTGACCAATCGGGAAACCAAGGGGTTGATCTAATGTATCCATACATACATACATACATACACTGTTTTCATAACGTTCTTGCTGTGCTGTACACTACTTGCTTCTGCGTTGATTAAAATTGGGAACAGGGCTGGATGGAACGATCTGTTGCGGAACTGTACGGTACTGTAATCAAACGCTACTCGAATGGACTACGTAGTTTAACCTCCACTTCTAGCTAGGAGCAATTTGGTGGCGGGCTTGTTTTCTGTTGTTCATGTCAAGGGCTCCGTGCCCGCCCCGGTACACAGGTAGCACTCCTGGCTAGCTGCTTCTAGCTAGGTATGCATAGCTACGACAATTAGCGACGCAACGAAGCTAGCCACACATCTCTTCCTAGGCCCAGCGAAAGCTGCGGCTTGTCGTTTCCAGGTACCTGGTAAAGAACTAGGAGGCCTTTGCCCCGTACTGGTATGGATCGAGCTCCAAGATGGGCCAGTCTTGGGTGGCAGTGGCCCAATAAAAGAGCACCCTTCGATCAGCAACTACACACTACGCTACGCTACGGTACGTCCTATCCAATGGTGAGAAGGAGGAGATGGAGCTCAGGCAAGCAAATAAATGGGGCAAGTTGCTCTTCCTCAGGTTTTCAAAAAAAAAGGGTACGGACGGTGGTACTGGTACCAGGTACTATGTCCTTGCCAGTGCCAGTACATACACCTGGCACCGGTATCTTAGCAAATTCTATTGGCTTCTACAAGCCATTTTGCACTCTCGAAATCTTTTCTCACTTTCAACGTTCTACTAGCTAGTACGGTACCAAACCAATGCCCTTCAGGCAGTGCCTTCTTGTTTGATAAGAGAGATACCGGTATCAACGCAGGGAACTGCAAAAGGGATGGCGAATCATCGTTGAGCGTGTGATTGTATTTTGCGGTAGATTTTCGTGGGCTTCAAAAGTGTTGAAAGAAGTAAAAATGTCGCAAGCTTTCGACTCTGGAAATGACTCGGGTGCTTTTGAGAACCGACCATCCATGATGCACCAGCTTTTCATGCAGGACAGCCAGGAAGGTCAAGAACAGGATGATCTGAAGGTACTGGAAGAAAAGGCCCCAGTGGAACGTGAAGCAGGGAGACAGATACGAAAAGCTTGGGAAGAATTGGCCAAAAAGGCAAATGCCAAGAAGAAGAGGGGATCAATTGTAGGTGTGGAAGGAGATGATGATGACGACGAAGACGAGGGCTTTTTTGACTTGGAAGAAGATGACTATGCCGTCGCCCTGACTCGCATGACACGTGAAAAAGACGATGCTTGGAAGGAGAACGACTCTGACAATGATGAAGATGATGACGACGGCGGCAAGCAGCCAGAAGAAACAAGGGATCCCGAACACAACCACAACGGAACTGTACCAGGCAGTCCTCCGGCATCGCCGCCACAATCACCAGTCACAGAAGCCAGTTACACTCCATTGCGTGGTGACAGTATCCCCCTGTCAACAACCACGGCAGGGTCCCGCAGAGCTTTGCCGAAATCGAAACCGAAAAAGCCTCCACAACACAAGCGGAAAACCCACAAACGAGCAGAAAGCGTAGAGCAGGCCATGTTTGGTCTCCTATCTACCCAAGCTGCTTTGCCGTCAGCCAATAATAAGCCACAAAATGGAAGCACCACCACCAATAAGCCACAGCCAGATCGGACCAAACTTCTTAGCAAAAAGGCTCGTCCTGTTCTGGAGTCTCCTCTCTTGGCCACTGATCAGCTGATTGATACGGCTCAAGCTCGTGTCGAAGAAGTACAGGCTCAAAATAATAAGGCAAAGAAGAACCAGCCAGAGTCTCAACCAAAAAATAATGAGGATGAAGCTGAGGATGCGCAAAAGCAACGACTCCAGGCCATCATTAACGAGAACGGAGACAAGGACGTCAGAACAAACGAGAATGAGGCTATGGAACGCATTGACGAAGACGATTCGGAAGACGACGATGAGAATGAGGAGAGTGAACAGGCAAACAACACTGCAAATAATCAGAATGATGAAGAAAATCCCCGGCAAAAGCTGAGAAGAAAAAAGAGCCGACAATCCAAGTTTTTGAGAAGCGTGACCAACTCGGTGCAACAGGATTGGGAGCTCTTCCAGCAGTTCCTGACCCCACGAGAAGGCACAATTTGGCTTTACGTTAGAGTTGTGGTCTTTTTGCTGGTCCTTCCATCCCTGATTATTGCCGCATTGCTGTTCTATCTCAAAGAGTACCCACACCAACAGGAGGTGGGATACAGTGCGCTCACCCCAGAAGACCACCCCTTTGTATCTTGGTGGTTCCTTTTTATTGGTTGCCGCCAAGTGGTGACATTGTCGCTGGCCCTTGCCACACAAGCACTTGTGATTGACTATCTAGCACTGGGGAGTCGCTTCTCTCTCAAGTTCTTTGGCCCAGCAGTGACGTTGCTGGCGGTACAAGCTCGCGGATTTCCCAGCATTCTGATTTTCTGGTCATTTTACAACCTCGTGCTTCTCTCGGGAGACCGACGCTTTGCTCATCACTGGCTCTATTGGCAGGATTCTATCCTCTTGTTCTCTGAGTATAACTATAGTGGACATGTGGTCCAAAGTGAATGGAACTTTCGGATTCTGATAATGGCCGCTCTTGTTGGGATTTTGGTAACCATCAAACGGGTTTCCCTGGGACTCTTTTTGGCTCGAAAGACGCTCTCACAATTTGGGGATGACTTTGATGTTGTGAAGCAAAACATGTTGGTGGTTGGTGAGTTGGCGACTCTGGGTGGTGAAATCCAATACGAGCAGACATCCCTCCTGCCGTTCGCTGCCCGAGAACCCGGCATGAGCGTGACGAGCGCGAACCTTCAAACCATCAAGAAAACAATCAACTTTGAGTATACCGAGCGTTCTCATAGTCATGAGAACGATTCACATAGGACACCAAATGCAGCAGCCGCCGCGTCTGCCTTTGTTCGAAAGTATGGTGATAAAGAAAGCGTTGGTACCCCTGGCTCTATTGTAGCGGTCCAAGGAGGTACCAGTGCTGCAGGGACTCACGTATCAGAAGAGCTTACGGAAGCAGAAGGTGACCACGATTTCGAAGCTACGCAAGATTCTGAACTGTACGAACTCCTCGGCGAATGGGAGGGTGCAGAAGACAGGCTAGAAAGGAAAAAGGTACGAGTTTTTTATTCACGTCTGCATTCATGGAACCACACCGTTCCTCAATTCTTCTCCTTCGCGTCATAGAGAGAACGAATCACAGTTGGCTCGATCCTACGGTTCTACAAAGAGCTGACGATCATGAACAGGAGGTATCCGTTTCTACCTGTATTTGGCAGAGCGGACACACGAGAAAAGACTATCAAGTCTGCCCAGCGCTTGTTTGATAGGCTGATGTTGCGCACTCCAACGATGAAGAAGCTTCCGTTCTCGACTATTGCTATCTTGGCCAAGGACGATGATGGCATCATCGACAAGAGCAAGTTGCGCGAGTTGATCCGACTCTTTCGACCTGATCGGGACGGACTTCTCGGCAAGCTTGATTTTGTACGGTAAGTGCAGCAAAACGTGTTCCAGTTCGACTGCCAAATTGTCAACACCCTCAAGCTTTTTTCCTACCCAGGAGCATTGATGAGATCTACAAGGGAATGCGTCGACTGAGTCTTAATGTGGAAGATAGCGGGCAGATCGACAAGGGCGTCACATTCCTTTGCAATGTCATATTCTACTTTGTAATCGGAGCGATCGTGTTGCAGCAGGCAAGTTCTGGTCGCTGATGACGACAGTGCTGCTTTGCAAACCTATTCTCACATCAGTAGGCTTTGATTCCTTTCGGTAGCTGGGAGTGGACCCGCTCCAGTTGTTCGCTTCGTTTTCCAGTCTCATTCTGGGCTTCGCCTTCATCTTTGGATCGTCTAGGTAAGCAGTATTTTGGCAGCCGCGGAGGTTGATCTTGTTGATCTTTTGACGAGGACGTCTCATCGTTGCTCCAGCGCAAAATACTTTGAGGTGAGTACTCCATAGTACTTGGTAGATGAGAACTCCTGCCTGGGACCTCATCACTGCTCGCTGCTCTATACACAGGGGATGCTCTTCATTCTGAATCAGAGGCCATACGGTGTTGGGGATCGAATACACCTTTCACATCCTAGTGCCGACACCAACCCGAATGGTAAGCCGGGGTGCCAGAGTCGCAGTGGAGATGGTACTGGGCAATGCCTCAGTGTGTTTTGCGCTTTCGTCTCACCTGTTGGCCGTCTTCATCATCCAGGAAGTTCCGGTTGGATAGTTGAGAAAGTCACGTTGACGACCACCACGGTGTACTGGGGCGCTACCAACGAAAGGGCCACGCTTAGCAACGGAGCAATCTCGGTGAGTGCTGCCGAATATGAATAACCCTTGCCGCTTTGATCAATCTAACTCAGCATTTCGGTCTATCAGAATCTTCGAGTTATTAACGCAGCTCGCTCCCCAAAAGCAACAATTTATGTCCACACGAAGTTTGGAATCGATACTAACTACAACAAGATACAAGTCTTTCGAAGTGCTGCCGAACAGTTTCTCAAACAGCGGCCTCGAGAGTGGTGTGCCTTTCTGGGGTTCCGGCCGAGTGAGGTCGTGATCGATAGGGGATACATCTCCTATACATTGATTGCACAGCACAGGTGCGTGCAGGAAATTGTGTACGTCCACAACGATGGCACCACGTCACTTACATATTATCATATCGCCTTTTCAGGGATGGCTGGCAGAAAATCGGAGGAATACTTTCCAGCAAGGCAAAGCTGACGACCTACCTGCTGGAGGTGTCAAAACAGGTAAGTCAGCTACCCCGTCAAGCAGACTCCGTTTTTGGCAATCGACGGCGCTTACCATACCGTATCCTCTTCTCTGCCATCGTCCTTCTGTCAGCTGGGAATGCGCTATCTGTCGCCACCGCTTCCGGTCGACTTGAGCATCAAGGATGCCTCTGCCGCGCTCAAAGCAGCAGGCATCAAAGAAGAGGCATTCGAAAGAGGTGTTGGGCAGACAAGAGATCCTTTTGGCAACTAGCCACGGATGCAAAATTTTAGATCGATGAAGACCTATCTAAGAATAGACACGCCTGGTTGAGGGTTTTCTCAGATTGCCTTTCTCTACTCTACACCCCGCACAGGATCAACGTAGCCTGCGTGACCAGGAAGTATCAGATTCACCTTCAACACACATGGATTGAGTTAACCCAAGGCTTCTGTCTGCCCTATGCAAACTATGTTGACAAATGTTCCGATTTTGGTCTCGGGCATCCAAGCATAGCAAGGATCTCAACGCTTGCACGGCATTTCGTGCCTATGCAACACTAGTACTGTAGCTTTCAATGTGGATGAGCACTTTCACCACCAAAAGTGTACGATAGCCTCGAACTACGGGACAATGTCCACTAGTGCTAGTTCAAGCCATTGTCTCCAAGGCGACCAATGAAGCCGTTCGTCTCCCCTGCAAGGACAACCGTTTCTTACCCAAAATGAGACCAAACACAAACCTGGAGGAAGGGACCGAAATGAGCATCCACGCGATGTTGTTTGGACTTGTCTCCTGGAATTCGACTTTCATCTTCCAAGCTCTCTTCTCTCAATCCAACGGCCATGCTGCCGATGCATCATGCTTTATCGGTAGACCCAGAGCCAACCCAGTCAATCTCCAAGCTCGCTTGTTACCTCTGTGCATGCCAGGTACAGATTCGGCAACTCAGCCGCCAGATTCGTTCGGAACAAATTTTTGCTTTGGTCGAGACCATCACATGCCTCGCTAATCTAAAGACCACTTGGACTTCAAAGCCAAGTAAGTGTGTCCAGCAAACCCAAGTGAGGGTGTGTGTCCATCAAACTCCCTCTGCTTGAATTTGGAATCCAACACCGCCAGACAAGTGTGACCGTAACATTGGTGCGCAAAGACTTTACCTTGCTTCCGACTTGGCTGATGTTTGGTTGCCAAAGACACCAAAGCCGCCAAATGAATAGCACAAAGACTGTTCCCTTTCTCGATGTGTTTGCACGAAGTGCCCCACGAAAGCGGAGTCTCCACTCATGCGAAACACATTCAACTTATTTTGGGACTCGACTCGTCGTGGCGTCTCATGGTTTACATAGATTTACGATTTAAGTCTTCTAAGCCCTGAAAGCACGCCACTCCCAGTTTAGTACGATCTTTCCACAGTGAAACAAATGGTACAGAGGGCATCTCTGCGGTCATGCAAAACCTTTTAGCGCAGTCCTCCATAACAGACCTGGATATGTTACGTCGCTGAAGGCTGAGGTAGCAACGCAGGAACCACTTGGGTACATGTTCAACCAATGGTGAAGGTATTCATGAGGTCATTGCTTTTACTTTGACGACCAAAGCAACCGGTAGATCTGTCACGACTTGCTTCCTGTCTACCAGCAGGGAAGTTAAGTTTTGTCCAGAAGTCATGGGTCCGAAGTCATTGCTGTGATGACGACAATACCGTACGGAGCCACGACGACAAGGAAAGGGAGCCTTCATCTTTTCTCACAATTTCGAAACCTCAAAAAGTCTAAAGACCCACAGCCAAACACTCACAATTCATTTACTTTTTTTGAGCACCATGAAGCTTTCCACCATTATTACCCTCTCTGCCGTCGCACTCGTCAGTGCCGACAACTGCGAAAATGTCGACCCAGATTGCTCAGACCCAGGCTCCTGCTTTGTCCAGGGTGGATGTGCCATGCCCAGGTTCGACCTCACTGATGGGCTCTGTTGGGATGATCTCAACTTTGCCAATGTTCCCACGATCCCAGAACTGAACGCCGTGTATGATAACTTTTGTGGAGTTTGCGATCTTGTTGGTATCCTCCAGGCTGATCAGGCGTTCTGTGCCTTGTGTGATTTGGATTTTGACTGTGACGGCACTGCTGGTGAGACCACGGAAGATTTGTGGGGCTTTTCCTTGTGCTTCTCTGGCCAGTCCACAGTCCAAACTCCCTCTGGCCATGTTTCCATGGACATGCTGCAAGTTGGGGACCATGTCCTTGCTGCCAGTGGAGAATACGAGCAGGTCTATGCCTGGGGCCACAAACACACCACTCACAAGGCTGAATTCCTTCAATTCAATGGACAAATGGAAATGACACCAGCTCACTTGGTTTTCTTGGAAGGCAAGGCAAACCCTGTTCGCGCTGACTCTGTCAAGGTTGGTGATGTCCTTCAGGGAGCTGAAGTGAAATCCATCAAGAGTGTCTCTCGTGAGGGAGTCTACACACCTTTGACTCCCAGTGGTACTATTGTTGTGAATGGAATCACTGCTTCTTCCTACATTTCTTTGCAAGCCAATGCCAAGGAATATGTCGAGCTTCAGGGAGGATTTGCAATCATGTCGTACCAGGACTTCATTCACATGGCTCTATCTCCTTTCCGTCTCTTCACCATGGGACTTTCTTCCGGCAACATTTCCTACACTGAGGCTGGAATCCCTGCCTTTGCCTCTGCTGGAATTGATTTGGCTCTCTGGACTGAACAGCAAAACATTTTGGTCCAGGCTGCTCTTTTTGCTGTATTCTTTGTCCTTGCTGGTTGCTCCATGCTTTTGGAGAACACGTTTGGACCTACCATGGCTCCTGTTGCCTTGGTCGCTGGTGCTGGTGCTTGGGCCGTGAGCCGCAAGATGACTGTCCGCAAGCTCAAATCTGTCTAAAGCCGAGAAGACTCTTCAAACCAGACGCGAAATGGTTGTTCCACCCTAGATTTTACGCTGCGAGTGATGAAATAGTCATAAATTCATAGTGAGAAAGCATTTTATAGTTTATTGCAGGGGCCTAGCGCAGGACCAGTACTCTACTTCCATGATTCGCTTGGTTCAATAACACCAAGCGACGCCATGCTTGGAAACTCAAACATGAGTCACTACACGCGTGTATTCACTCTGCTCGAGGTAGTGGTATCAACCCGAGTGAGAAAGCATCGTACCACAGCGACAGTTCCCAATCTTGGCCTTGAGCACCCTTAGGTTGTACAGATCTCAACGCTCGCAGCACCATTCCAGCAGTGATTGTTGTCATACTCGGCTCCTGGAGTTCCGACCAGCCCCTCACTAGACTTCGATTCAAGTTGTCCATCATGGTTTCCCATGGAGGACGATCGGCATCACGGAGGAAGCTTTGGATGAAATGATTCCTTCTCTCCAGATATTCTGCAAACCCTGGTGGAAACTTTGGTTGTAGCTCAACGGATATCTGCAACAAGTTGGTGTTCTCTCGAAGCACTTGTTTCAGTTTCATCATCAGCCGTGTTGCTCGCCAAAACAACCGTCGATCTACTTCTGGTGGGACCATCTCGATGATACCATGCCGAGACTCTGGGACATTGGTCAGGGTCAAGCTGCGAAAAGACTTGGGCAGGAGCGGTATGTACTCGATCAGCAGATTGAAGCCCTGAAGGCCCAAAGCACAACAGCCTGCAAAATTGAGCTTTTTCAGTGAGCATTGGCTTTGCACTAGACCACAAAGGATGCTTTCTACTCCCGTTGCGTCCAACTTGCAGGCATCAAGGACCAGCTCTTGCATTTCATATTGGGACGACAACCACCGTCCTAGATCCTTTGAAGTTTCACGACTTATTTGGAGGTGGCTTAGATCCAAATACGTCATTAGTACATTCGTTGGCAGGCTTTGCACAACGGTGTGAACCTTCCCAGCAGAAATGCTGGCGTTGGAGATATTCAACCGTTCCAGTTGAGTGCTTGTCGGCAGAGCCTGAGTGAAATGTTCTAGCGTCAAATCATTCAGGCAGTTGAAGTTGTCATTTAGGTTCAAGACCTTCCAATGAGGATGCTGCTTGATCAGCATTGGGAGAGTCACGCTCCAGTTGTATGCCAATCCAGTAGAAACTTGCCCTTGACGGAGGGCGTGCACAACCTCTAGAGTCGTCAAGGAACGCGTTAACTTGGGCGCTGACATGTAGAGCCCTTTGACGACAGCCTCGTTCCACCGATTCCCTTCGTGGCTGTTCAAACGGTAGAAGGATAGTGCCTCCAGATTGGTTTTGTTTTGCAGAAGATTTGACAGCATACGACGTGTCTCTTGAGGGAAGGATGCGTTTCGGAATTGCAAGCGTGTGATTTTGTTGGTTGGCGCCAGCAGACTGTTCACCAAATGCCTCAACATGCCGTTAGGCCAACAGTTTCCACAGAGAATCAGTTCACAGTTACTGTTGTTACCCTCCATTCTTTCAAGATACTTTGACATGGCTTTTACACCTCCAATCTGAAGACTGCGAGCTTGAAGTTTTCCTACGTTTTCAATGGGATGATGCTTCAACGCTGTGAACAGATTGGCTACTGATTCATCATTCAAGTTGTGAAAGTTCAATTCTCTCTTTGGAAGAACTCTCTCCTGATTCCATCCAATGGCAAAGGCATCAGCCTCTGCAGGTGCTATGGTTCTTCTCGATGTTACACTCAAGGCAGGTACATGTAAGACATGCTGGGTCAATTGGGTAAGGGTCCAATCATTGGTGCATTCTAAATGCAGTCGATTCAACCGATTCATCTTTCCCAGTGCCTGAAGGACTGCAGCTAATACCTCCTCCTTCATTGGTTGACATGCCTGGAGATTTACATGTTGCAGCGAATTGGATGGATTCAAGCAGAAATCTGCCAGTGTTTGTGCCTGTTTAAGAGTCCAATCAGAGAGGTTGTTGCGATCATCCAGAGAGAGTTGATGGTCATCCAAAGTCCATGCTTGTGGATTGCGTTTGACGGGTTCATTTGCCCTTCTTTCAGCGGCTCGATCACGTGGTGAGATGACATCCATGCGATGCTGTCGATGCATCAAGTCGATCAAGTCATCGTCGTCTCTCCTGTCATAAGAAAGGCGCCTTCGTCGTCTTCTCAAGTGAGGTGGCCCTTCTCGCCCTTGGATCATCATTTGGTCGAACCATCGCTGTTCATCCATGTCATCACGTGCTGCTAGTCTCATGTATTCATGCCGACCCACCATTACGTAATGTGATGATTCACCCTCACCAACAGGAGGGCGGTCCGAAAGACGACCGTGACATTTGAAATAATCAGAGTGGCCATCGGTGGCAGACGGGAAGAATCGCCTGTGCAGGAACTTTAGCACCTGGTAAGCAACTGCGACCAACCACACGATCATCGCAAGGTTCCAAGCACCGTCCCATGCCTGCATGATGAGGGGGTGCACCATACCGATAGCAACAGCTTCTACTGTCATACATGTAATGGTGAGGTTTTTGTTGTTCTTCTGAAAGGCAGAAAATGGCCAGAGAAAAATGAGGAGAGGCGCGAGCGCTCCTCGAAACACGAAGGCAACGGTCAAAGAACCTCCGCTGGCAGCTTTGACCATGAAAAGAGGGAATGGAGGAATTTAATTCCCCAATCCTTGGAGAAGGTGGAATCGAATCATGAATCAAGACTGGTAAAATCATGAACGTGACTTGACTCAAATACTACAAGTATCTTCCGACACACAAGTAACAAGTAAGTTTCTTACTGTGACTGATCCATAATGCTTTGGGGGAATACCTCAGCCTTTAACACGGGATTCGTGAGTGCACCCGACTCAAAATTCGCTTTCGTGACACAAAAGTCACCACTCAGCCCCACCAAGCAAGATGGGGACAACCAAGCGGCTTCTTCCACTCTCTTCCACTACTATTGAAACCACTATTACAGCGCTAGAATGGTCTCCAAAGCTTATCTGATGGTCTCAAAGCAAGGGTGGAAGTAGAGAGCTCTGAAGGGCTGAAAGGAGCCTTTTGGCTGCTGCTGCCGCTGTTATCTCGCCATTATCTAGCCGCTCCACGATGAGGGAAGTCTCCACATGTTCTCGGAGCGTCGGAAGGCAGTACGACGACTGCGGCGGTGGCTTCTCATCGACTACGAGTGTCGGCTGATGGTTGTGGTCTGGAGTAGCGTCATTACCAACAGAACAAAACAACGGCGAAGGGAGCGTTTCCCGCTGTTATCTCGCAACGGCTTTCGAGTTTTCGCGCAAACGAAACATTCGACCATGAGCTTTCTACCGCCATTACGGCTACATTCCAGTGTTTGTGGTTCGTCAGTCCAACAGAGGAGGCGTCGAAGATGCCTGTTTTTAAAACTCGTCGGCGACGGTGGTGCCTGCCTTGTGTCGAAGGCAACAACAACAACAACAACAACAACAACGATAACAACAGCATGGAAGAGTTGCCACAGTCAACGGTAGGATCGACCGCAGGAGCCACCAGCTCAAAGGCAACAATGTTCGTTCGCACTCTTTTGGAATTGGAATTGCAAGGAACTCGGCGAATTGGCACTACAGGAAGCTACTAGCAAGACGCAGCGAACCGCGGATGTGTCAAAGATTTGAAAGAGGTCGTCCGACGTTCTACATCTACACGACGTGCCATGCAGCAGTGCCTGTCTTCCGCCACCGAATACAATGCACCAAATACAATACACCGTTTGTCCCAGACAGGTTTAGGGGCTTGCTGGTGGCTCCTTCTAGCTCTCACAAGACCACCCGGGGGGGCAAGGAAGCCATGAAGCACGGGTAAAAGCAAGCAAAAGCTTGCTATCTAGATTGGCTCCCACACACCACAACTCAGATTTTCAGGTGAACCCATGATGGGGATCCTCATTCTAATATAGTTACTAAAGGATGGTGTAGATCATAGGGTTGTCCCCATTGGTGTTGATGGAGTCGTCAATGTCCTTTTGTGCCGATTGGTGGCAATTTGGTGGGGGTAGAGCCACGGAGGTCGTGTTAATTAACGAAGGAAAAAAGTGTCCAGTTCGAATTCGAAGATGACACGGAATCTTTAGGGTTAGATTGATCTGTTTTGGTACTCGTACGATAGCACTGATAGCTAGCTAGTAGAGTGGCGGCTGCACTTTTCAACCAAACAGCAGAAAACCAACCAAAGAACCAAAGCGACGCCTTCGCCAGAGCAGCGACAGGCTTCAATCAATTGAAGCCTGTCACTTTCGTTGGCTCTGATTGCAAACGAGCAACGAGTTACTCCAACTGCTCTGGAGTACTCGTAGAGTTTATGGTATGCCATTTTGAGCGCCTGCTGATCATGAGAAAGTGAGGATTCTAGACGATGTGGTTTGATTCAAGTGCCAAGAAAGAGTCCTTCTGCAGTTCAGAGCGATCGGAGCAGTCGAGCGCACTGCCACTACCGGTAACGGATGAATTTACCGATCATGGGCCAATCGAAGAAGAGGCAGTGTATGTGTGACCATTCCAAGGAAGAGTTTTGTCACGGTAAGCAACCAGGTTCCTACAGTACGCAGACGAGACGCCACCAGCTTTTCTGCAAAGATCCTCAAACCTCAAACCTCCTCCCAACCACAGTTTTGGGCATGACAGAAGAGGAGCTCTTCCCAGCTGAGTGACTTTGACGATTGGACCATTTGCAGTTGTGGCAAGAAGAAGAAGAAGAACGAGGAGGACGAACCGGAGAGCAAGATGGCCCCCCGGAAGACGTCGACTTTGGAGATCGGTTCTACGAGAAATTGATAATACCATGAAAGCGGTTGGAAGAGCCTCTACATGTACAATCGGCAAGAGACAACGCCAAGCCATGGCAGACATTGCCAGAAGAGTTGTCAGATCACCTGCACCATCCGGAGAAGGGAGTGACTCAATCGGCAAGCTAAGTCACGACCATACCTCCCTTGGATACATAAACCAACGACAAGGAAGGACATACGTTCGCCATCGTTCAAAACTTGACGACCATCGATGTGGTATGGCTGCCATGGGTACGTGTGACAACCCGCCCATGATGGACAACACTGTTCCCACAAAGCGGCTACTCCATCTGACAACCGACAATTCACGGATCTTCTTCAATTCATCCACTCATCCATCCATAAGCCAAGGAGAAAGCCTCAAACACGAACCCTCATCAACTTTGGTTGGATACGACTTGCTTCGCTCTAGGAGGAACCAGTTCCTGGGCTCCTGCTTTAGTTTGTTTCAATCATTCCAAGCGCGGGGAAGGGTCATATCGATGAGGTATTGTACAAATTGTACGATCAGGACATTGTGGTTCTCCAAGTTCGAATCCTCGTTCCGAATCCTTGCACACCAGCACATGCAGTTAGCAGGTACCAGGTAGCAAGCATGCAGCTAGCAAGCACACCAGCACATGCCGGTTGCTGGCTATCACGAGCAGCCAACAATATCAATAGTTCTATAGGAAGCACCAAAAAAGGGCGAATGCGGAGGATTGTGGCGCATGTGTTGTTGGCAAAAATGTGTTGTGAGCCACGATCCCCATATCGGAACCTGACATGGTTTTGCACTAACCCTTACTCACCAGGCAGGCAAGCAGTCAACTGCAAACTGCGACCCAGTGAGACTTCCGCCATTGAGCTGTTCAATCGTTTCAGACTATTCGCAGCACTTTAGTGTTTCCTTGTTCCGTTGCTCAAAGCAAACAAAGCCTGGTATTGCACGGTCGAGAGGATACAAAATTGTGGGATTGGGGAGCATCGATCGACAAGCCGGTTTGGAACAGGTCCCGTTCCCATTTTGGAGTGGGAGTCGATTCATCGTTCGATCTTTCACCGGTAATCGGATGCACCAAACACTGGTACTGATCAAAATACCGGTTGACACTTGACTAATTTGACTCAGCTTTTGGTGGTCGCAGCAGGCATTGTCATTAGTGGCGTGGTCGTCAATGTTCTCCACCTTCGATTCAGGTCAAGCTTCGAGGACGGCGTCGGAGGGATTTAAGGGAAAAGATTTTCATTCAAACTTCACTATGGAAAATTCAGTAACCCTATGAAGCATTGATATCCATGAAGCATTCATTCCGACTTGAGTGGAAACTGAAGGAACTGTAGAAACCCACAGCTGTTTTCAAGGCAGTGGTACTCTTCATCTGATCGTTAAAAACAATTCAAGCGCTGATCAAAAGGTTGACGGCAGGCACAGTTGCTACTTAATCGATTGGATGGTTTCTTCTTTGAACTGACTTTTACAGCAACAGCTAACAACTCTGTTTAACTCCAAAGTACAGCAACAAAACATCATGAAGAGTTGAGTCATTCATTCATTCAAATGCTCTAAACAAACCAGAGACACCATCCACATTTTCTATCAAAGTTGAAGAGGCCATCCACAGTTTCGAGTAATCAGATACTTAAGGGCAATCTCAGTGCATAAAGATATTCACCTGGCTATTATAGCTAGCTCTTTGCATTGATAGTTCGATCGTTGAGACCACTGGAAGCAAAAATGTCTGGTGTCGATATTCGGTGTCGGTGTCCTTCAAGCTAGCTAGCGGTACGGTACGGTGCATGCATAGAAATCTGCTTATTATTTGATGCTGCGTACTGCAACAGTACACAGTTGGTGGAAAGTATGGTGCGGTGTGGCAATCGCTTTGCACTTAACCTCCCATGAATGGACCCAAGGATTGACAGCGCTGACACAGAGTGTTTACTGATCGAGAAGACCAATACTTAACATAGTTTTTAGTCCATTTCTTATTAGAAAAATATAGTACTTTTACTTCCCACTTTATCCGCATACCAGTGTGATGAAGAGCTGATGAAGGCACTCAAATTTGTGATTGAGGTGCATCGGTCCAGCATCGACAGCGAGTCATGCTGGCTCAAAATCCCAGTACTTTCTTAGTAGGAACTCTACGTTGAATGAAACGGTAAGTGGGACAGTTTCGAAGGACCCTCTGCCCCAAAACTACCGAAAGGAGAACGAGATAGTGTTGCAAACTGCGAATGAATGTGTGAATCAGTGTTTACGGTAAGGAGAGGGTACCTCGACCAAGGAAAAGGCCGATATCTTCTTCTCACAAATTGAGTTTTCTCCCTTCGATCAACAGCAGCAGCAGCCACCACCCATCATCAACACCGCGATGCACTTTACTATGTCGACAGAGAAGTTGTCAGGTCGAGGCAAGGATATGGTGCCTCTGGCCGACGACTTTGTACCTGGCCCCGGACACGTTATCTGCGCCAAAGGCAAACAGGCCAAGCAACATCCTGCCAATCGAATGCTGAAAAACCTTGTCCAGTCCAAGCTGAAGGAGTATTCCGAGTGTCCTTCCAAACTGGAAAGGTCCTTTATCGTGTCGGCAATCTTGAAGACCATCCGCCAAAATGGAGGATTTGTACGCAATATCAATGGAAAATGGTTTGATATTGGAGACCGCAACAGCAAGGAAAAGATTGGGCAATTGTTCCGTGACAATCTTTCTCACATGTTCAAGTCTTCCACCAAAGCCAAGGCCAGTATCCGGCGCCAGAAGAGGAATTCATCTGGAGATAGCGCTTCCGGCTCTTCCAACGACTCTGATAAAAACGAGTCTCCTCCCCAACGCGCAAAATCCACTTATACCTTCCCCATCTCCGAAGTTACCATCGATACCTCCGCCCCACAGCCTGATGCCGCCAAGTCCAATGGCAAACAATACACCATGGAAGTCAGTGACTTAGAGCCCATTCCTCTGGCAGACGCCACTGTGGCTCAATTCGGTAGCATGGAATATGATACCTCTTCCAGTGCTGTTAGCTCCAACGCATCCTCCTTTGACAGTTCCATGCATGATCTCTACAGTCATCTCTCTTGTTCCGTCTTGTCCAGTACCACTGCGAACACTATGGCATCTTCTCAATTCAACAATTCCGCCTTCCAACAACAACAAGCTAATAATGCCAATGTCGCGATGGATAACCAACAACAGCAGTCTCTGTTGTCCAGTCTGCAAGTCCAATCTGGCGTGGCCTTGCCCAGTCCTTATGCCCTCCGAGCTCAGTTGGCTTTATCGGGACACTTTAGCAACTATCAGAACAACAACACGAGTCCCCTCAGCATTGACCAGAGCAACTTTCTATTATCCAGCTTGCAAGCTCCTTCCAGCGCCATGCTTCCCGAATCCCTCGAGCCAACGCCCATTGCTCCAACTTCGACGCACTTGTTGGCTCGACAACAGCAGCTTCAACGACAGCAGCAACATCAGCAACAACAACAGTCCTCCACGAACACAACCAATTCTGCTGCCGGCGACAGCAACACGGAGGAAGAACAATGCGCTCAAAGCAGTCTCAAGGCTCAATGGAAGCGACAGTTCGAGTAAACCTCCTCTTTGACTCGACTACTAATGCCAAGAGGCAAGACTACTACATCAACTAAACATCAATATCTAAGACTACATCGACTTAAGTTAAAACATCACTAACGAATACTACATCAATGCCTGCACTACTTCCAAATCATAATGCTGTAGGGCCCTGCTCTCTCTTATCTTTCCATTTTCCATTGTTTGTTGCTTGTGGTTTCGATGTCACTGCATTTTCGAAGCCCGAAACTGTGTGCTGTGTGGAGTGTGGAGACCTTTTGCGGTTCGGAATTCCACAAGGATCTGAATGGATCCGAGTCCTATTCAGTCCAGCTCAGTACCACTCACGCATAATAAGCACGTGGTTAGCCTTTACTTTCGCACTCGGAACAACAACTGAACAACGAAAGGTTCCTACATTTCTTCATTGCTTGACCCCACACCACACCAGTCCTTGTGAAGTCACAACAATCAATGTTTCTCTGAGCACTCGTGCAGTCTTGCAGCTCATCCTTAGTGCTACTTTTTGCCGGCCAGCTAGAGTACAAATAATAGTACTGCAGAGAGGGTGTGAACAAAAGGAAGTTCACACCAGCAGAGTGAGATATCATACCAATAGTAGGATCAGCCAGCAATCCACAAAAACGTAGTGGCCACATTCTGTTCTGCAATGGCACGAGCTTGCAATTTTTTGTCCAAGACTCCTGCGATAAACCCATTGCTCCATGTTTCCCCCCACGCCATTAATTCGGACAGCTGCTCTTGCAACAACCCGCCACCTGGAGTTGATCGTTCACAAGCAATAAATACTATAGTGGAACCTACAGTACGGTACCGGCATAATAGAATGACGATGGAGGTGCGGAAGAAGCCAGGAGCAGACGTGCGAGCTGCCGCCATTAAAACGCAAGGAAGACTGCATTCTCCAGTACCAGGTACAGCCGTACCAGGTAGCACCTCCCATTAAGTTGGCTGTTGACGACTGCGACAGAAGTATCTCTCCGGAAATTTGGCTGCAGACCGCTCGAGGGCTGCTATCTACTTTGGAGTAGCAGGTTGATCGCTCAACTTTATTGAAGCTTTTATCAGTTTGCTGGGTGTGGAGGATTGAAGCGGCGAAGATTCAAGTACTCGGTAAAGCTTCTGTAGCTCGAGACACATTACTGAATTTTGAGTTTGAGCGTGGGTCGACTGTCTTGATCCCCTGCTGTATTCATCAGCTGAGCAAACTAGTACGTCTCAAGATTCTCTACTTCAATCCTCTTGATTTCACGCATCTTTGGAATGGGATGCATCAAAGTGAGGGACAGAAACAAGTGGAGGCTCTGAACTCTGGACATTATGCATGCTTCCCAAAGCTGCCTCCTTCAAATTACAGCCAGCAATTGCTACACATTCCAACCTACACTACGACAGGGCAGACTGGGGAGGGCCGCACCTTCCAACACAGAACTTCGATGAAAAGTGTCAGATCGAGAAGTTGAGAGAAACCTCCGTTACCACTTGGTGCTAAAATGTAATCCAGTGCAGCTGCGAAAGCATTGCGTGTGCACTGGACCCGGTACCTACGGTACGGTTCTCTCATCGCTGCTACATGTAAACGGAAACCACAACAGGTCCCACCTAACCCCAGGAGGCTTCATAACCCCAGGAGGCTTCATCACCCCAGGTCATCACTCCTGGTTCATCTCCAGGCGTCAAGGACCTAATATCCCGCCCCTCCCAGGTTTCTTGGACGCTGAGTACTGCTGTGTGTAGTGATCCTCCAAGAGGAGGTCTCGCACTTCCATGGATACTATTTTTGGCCTGTCAATAGTCTTTTGAGAGAAGGAGCGCTGCGGAAGTCATCTCCCAGTCAAGGCTAGCTAGCAGATTGTCCAAGGAGTATGTCGCTCCCTGATCGGACTTGCTGTTTTCAGTGGCATTTTAAAGGGAGGGCAAGAGGGCAGAACCTCGGCCCGGCGAGCGAACAAAGGCGGACCTTTGTAAATTAGCAAGTGAAACAACACACGAAACTGGGAAAGTCGTCGAGCAAACGAACTACTAGCTAGCCACAGAAAGAAACAAAATGCGACGTGAGGGCGAATCGAGTTGCTTCCAAATTTACCAAAAGAGACTGCCTGACTGCCATGACTGTAGATTGTCAGCATGGATTTCTTGCGAGCTGTCTCTTCGACTGTCAACCGATTCCTTTTCGGGGCAATGGGCTATATGATCTTGTGCATGCGGTGACAGCTCCTGCATGCCATGTAAAGTAGCCGGTGCAATTCGCGTTATCTTAATGGAACGCACAGCCAGAGTCGCACTACGACTGTACCTGGACCCAGCAGCTAGAGCTAGCTAGCTAGCAGCTAGTGGACAGCTACAGTGCCGCTGGCTGGATGTGTTGACAGTGTCGTCTCCCATCTACTCCGGATCCTAAACTCTGGGCCAAAGACTGCCTTCCCATCAACTCTTGGTTCTTCTATGCATACAGTACCGGTACTGAACAATAAAGCGAAAGGAAAAGGCCGACTTCCCTCCGGCTGGCTAGCTACCCAAAGCAACCAGCCTTTCCGAGATAGAACTCCCAACTTCTTATTACCAACTCATTGCTTGATGCACCTCCTTGCGCCCACCGCTCTAGCTAGCAAGCCTGTACCGTACGTGAAGGGAGGTATGGATACGGTACTAGCTAGGTAGTACTACAAGGGCAGCTATCCAACAACTGCTTGGATGTTCCGGAATTTGATTCACGCAACGCGAATCCAGCATGCACCAATGAACGTGCCCAACTTCAGGTGGCAGCTTTCGGCAACCTTCCACTGTTAGTAATTCACAGTACGTAGCAGCTGTCGTAAGGAGCAACGTGGCGCGTTCGGCAAATACAATGACAACCTTTGACACCATTCTCTTTTGTTGCCAAGCTCCTTGCTGACGACTGATTTGGGGGTTCCCCTTTTTATCTTGACAACCGCGGCAGACAGTGATTGTAATTGAGGTAGGCGAGGTAAATTACATATTTTATTTAAATCTTCAAAGAAATAGTAGCGTTAACCTTATATTTACCGCAACTACTTTGTTATAGCTGTCATCCAAGTGGATCGTTCTTTCTGCCGGTTGGCCCCTTCCTGGGTGTCGTGTGTTGATGCTTTTATGCTTTGATTGGCAGGCTGCAGTAAGCCCGAAGAAAACAGGCATCAAGACTGCTGCGTGGGAAAGTTGTGGGAATCTCGCCATCAAGAGGTTTACTTGGTGAAACCCACAGCTTCCAAATGGATCACACAAACGGTCCGGACTGAGAAGATTCTGTGGCTGTCGCCTACTAAAAGACTCATTGGTCAATTGCTAGCTAGATAGAGTGCATCATCAGTGATCGGCAGGAATCGGAACTCAAGTGTCCATCAACCCATCATCGTACTTGTTGATGCATTGATCAAGCACAATACCGTACGGGAAACAAGCAAGCATCGTTAACGCGTTGGATGCACTGTAATAACGACCCAGGCTGGAGTGGAACGATTTGTTCTTTCTCGGAACAAACATCACAAGATCAATCAAACAATAGGGAACTCCAGAGGTCATAGCTTTTAGCACCCAACATCAGTCTTACAATTCAGTTCAGTTCAGAACATACTTCTTCTATCAGATTCGATTCAACGCTACCCATTCATTCTCTTTTACTTTTTCCCAGTCTTCTGCCAGTATCATAAGTCAACTCTTAGAAGAGCTTATCAACAACAATCATGTATCTTCAACAAAGCTACAACCCACACACTCACACCAAGGGCAACAGCCGCAAACGGTCGAGACCGATTCAGCACAATGCCATACCAAGAGCCACACTAGTCACATCACTGCTCTGGCTCGTTGCGTTCACTTCCACACACCCCTTTGGAGTCAAGGCCTTTGTAGTCGCCAGTGACAGACACAATGCCGGCCATGCTGTCACAAAGAACAACATTATCAACAACCACAAACAACCACAACACCAGCCATTGCAACCCCTAGTTTTGAGTCCGGAACACGATCATCATCATGACAAGCAAAAGCTGTTCTCGTCCGTAGCCACGGCATTACCAGCCCCAGACTTGAGCTCCCTGGTCAAAGTCCCCACAGACCTCGAGGGCGTGCTGGACTTTGAACTCCTCTCCTCGCCGTTGGGCCTGATCAAGCTCCTCTCGTCTCGTGACGGTCAACCCGCTGCCAAAGTCTTGGATGAAGAGGAAGTTCTGGAATGGGCCGGCCGCTATACTAGTGTCGATGCACTACGAGAACACTTTGGCGGCAATCAGAACAAACTATGGGGAGACTTGCAGGCATCCACAGCCCGTCGTCTGTACAAGACGTTGTTACCTCGAGCCTTGCTGGAACTCTCCAAGATTGGTCAGTTGCAACCACAAGACTTAGCTCCACTGGCCTATCAAGCTCGTGTTGCGGCCAAGTTGTATGCTCGTGAACGCTGTACTGTGCCCGCACGGATTGCCGCCACTCTCTTTGATGGGTTCCGACAATGGATCAAGTACGGCAAGTTTCAGGGACACGGCATGACCTACGATCAGCTTTGGCAAAAGTACGCTGAGAAGATTCTGCATGAAACGGAGTCTACGGAACACCGCACTAGTTTGGAGACCTCGGAACGTGACGACGACTACAGCGACCATCACGACGACGAGGAATGCAGCCCTTTCGAGTCGGATTGCGAAGACCTTTCGGAACAAGTCTGTCTAAAGATTCTGGAACGGGCGTGTGTGTCCAACGAAGGAGTCGATTCGTTGGTGTTGACGGGGCAAGATTGGTCCGATGACACCTTTCTGAACCCCGAGCAGCGACAGCTCTTGGAACGCATCCGTTACCAACTCGAGAAGGACATGTATCAGCTCCTGTTGCCACCCGGCAGCGTGATGGACGAGCAAGACGACGAGCACGAACATCCAACCTTGCCCGTCGGTCCGACCACTCGGGACCGACTCCAGAGGGGCAAGTTCAAGTTGGTCAAGGGATTGGCCAAACAACGACGATTTTGGAAGCTTCGGCATCAAAAGAAGCTTTTGGCCAAGGCCATGGCTGCTGCAAGAGAGGAGCTGGAATCCAAGAAGGAGAAGAAACACATGGCCTGGCTGTCCCTAAACAACAAGCACAAGAACCAATCCAGGTTGCACGAGGAGAGCGACAGTGAGGACGACCCAGAACAAGAGGACGATGAGGAGGTGTTGAAGCCTTGAATAAAGCATACCTCTCAAGCGTTTTTCCCATTGATGGATGACGGATTTTGGATTCATGCACTTTTGCGGCGGGCGATCCGTGTCGCTGCCTATGTATTATCAATTGTACCTACGTACCGCTAAACTGTACACTAGCTAGAGCTCTATGCTTTACAACTCTCTTACAACCACCTAGATCTCTTCCGCTAGTCTTACTCCTTTGATCCTCCCTGCCTCCCACCTTGCCTTCCCTCCCTCTTTGGTTTTGGTGCCACTGCATCGATTGTTCTACTCGTGTTCGTGCATCCTGCCCTCCTCCTCTGCAACCCATCCTCTCCATAGTCCCCTCTAACCCATAGTAACGCCTCTCTTACACTAGCTAGCTAGCCACGTGAGTGAGTGTCCTGTGTGTCAAGCGGTTTCTGCACTAGGTAGAAGAAGCGAAGATTAGATTGCACAAGGAGCGACCAAGAAGGTTCGCTACTGATCATCGTGGCCCGACTTCGGGTGGGAAGAGGAACAGGTAAAATACCCCTCGTCAATAGTTCAGCCACTCGTGCTCACAGAGATCGTACGGTTGAAGCGAAGCGCAGCCATGCGCCAGTTCCATCAATGCCACTGCCCACTGGATTGGCAGCTGCGACGGACTGATGCAGTTCTGTTTGAGCACCAATGGCAGTGCTACCTGCTACGGTGGGAGTAATCAGGAAAAGCAGAAGTTGAGTTGCCAAATCAGTCCCAGGCAAAGCGTCAAACGGTTTGAGATTGAAATTGGACGGAAGAACGAAACGAATCATTCAAGCGAATTCGCCAGAGTCGAGTCATTCAGTAGTCTAGCTAGCAGTTCTAATAATTGGGAATGTGTAGCTTCGAGCATCATTGGCTACGCACCAAGCACTGCATCGACGCCTCCCTCCCGACTTTGATGCTCGTCACCTTAACCCCATCAACGGTACCATCGGTACTATACTAGCTAGACTAGTACCGGTACATCTGTACCGGTTCCACGAACCCCTCATTTGGAAGCCAGTCAGACTGTTTTATTTATTTGTGGTCCATACTGGAGATGAACCAAGCAAGAAGACAGCGTTGAGTCCAGGCTCGGATCCAACGGGAGTTTCCTCTTTGAATCAAGCATGTCTACGTCGGCCAGCATGACCCGTGCAGCCGTGCAGAATCTGACTGGGCCAATAGAATGGTCGGCTTTTCGGTCGGACGACGTACAGACGGCGAAAAATCTTTTGAGTCTTGCTTAATAAAGTAGAACCTCAGCTATTCATAGATGTATATATGGGTATGTACGGGAGGTTAGAAGTTAACATTCTATCTTAATTACTTTGGCGACGTGCGCGATGAACACGGGATGAGCCGATGTTCCGATTCACTTGTTCTCGCCAAAAGGATCCAACCGAAACGGACGACGGACAGAAAAATGACCTCCCATTCTATTGGCCCAGTCTTCTGATGATGAAGGAGCAAGGGCTGAAACACAAACTCTCACAAAATTAAAGGAAACACAAACAACAAAGACACTTTTCAACTTGGTATCAAACAAATACTCAAACTACTTTTTATCCTTCTAGTATTCACATTCATTTGACAATGACATTGACAATTACAACCAAAAACTCCGCTATGTGCTTTGCCAATAAGATGTCTCTTGGCATCTTCGTTGCAATTGCAACCATGAATTTCCAAGCTGCCTCGGCATGCTACATGAGATCCAATCTTGGTGGTGGTGGTACTGGTGGCCGCCTGCAGCCTGTGCATGACAACAGCAATTTCGATGTGGCTGGTGGGGGGACAACCACATGTTCTGTTTCTGGTCATTGCGACTATTTCAGGCTCCAAGTTGTCTATGGTGATGATGTGGGGGGATCCAATGCCTTCAATGGAGCTTCTGGCTCTGTGGGTTCTTTGCGTGGCAGTGCAGCCAAAAGCTGTGACTTTTCAGTAACAATGAGTGATTCCAATGATGCCACTACTTTGGGCTTGTACTATGAGTACAGTAGCCTTACGGGAGGAGATTTAACTCTTTCATGTACCTCAATTCCAAGAGCTCCTCTACTACGAATAACAATAATGCCTTTGTTCCTCCTCCAAGTGAACGAGGTGGTTCCAACTGTTTCTCAGAGTCTGCAACTGTGCAGGTTGAGAATAAAGGATCTGTTTCAATGATAAGTCTCCAGGTTGGTGACAGAGTGTTGACAGGGAGCAGTATATACCAACCAGTGTACAGTTTTGGGCATCGCCATGAAGATCTTGAGGGAACCTTCTACCAAATCTACACAGACAAGAGTAATCACACTCCATTGGAAATGACTAGTGGCCACTTGGTCTTTGTGCTGGACAATGAAAATCAGCTCCAGCCTGTTCGAGCTGATGCAGTGAAAGCTGGGGATCGTGTGATGAAAAGTGAAAGTCAAGAAGATGACATGCACCCAGCCCTTGTCACCAAGGTTGCAACTATTCAGAAGAAAGGAATGTACATGCCATTGACCCCGGATGGATTGATCATTGTTGATGAAATTCTGTCCTCCACATATGTCTCAATTCAAGATCAAGCTCCTATTGTTGTGGACAACTCCAAACTGTTCCCATTCTTGACTGAAGACAAGATTTTGCATTGGTTCATGTCCCCTGTTAGGATGTTGTGCCTTGGAGTGTCCTCCAATGCTTGCCAAATCTTGGAACGAAGCAGGGACGAAGAAGGCATTCATTCCTACTTGATGGCTGGAAGGAGCCTAGCTGAGTTTGCCAATCAACAGGGATTCTTTGTCCAAATGTTTCTGATTGGAATTCCAGTCTTTCTGTTGTTTGCCTTTTTGAACCTTTTGGAAGTGCTCCTTGGTGGACCTGGTCTAGCTCCCTTTGTGTGCTTTGCAGCCATTACCCTTGGAGGTTGGGTTGTCAACAAGCGCCATGGTATGATCAGCAACAGCCAGGAGTCAAACAAGAAGCTGGAATGAACCTGAAAACCAATGGTTTCCAGTGACTCCAGGAGAGAGAGATTGAAGAGTATCACTACTTTGGGAAGAGAAAGATTCATTGTGCATGCGCTGTTGCTTGCTAGCTAGCTCGTAGTTATATGTTTGATTGTAATGCAAAAAATAAACCCATAAAACTCTGATTCAGACGTATGATGCTAAAGTAGAACAAAAATTGGTACCGGCAAAGGATGAACCATCAGTACATACACCACCTTCGTGCTTGGGATTACTCGGTAGTCTAGTACTTGTAGAATGTTCCACCTCGCTGCATGCTGGCAAGGTTTAGTGAAAGCCAACCAGGCTGTATTTTACTACCTTGGGTGACCTGGTTGGCGTCAGCTCGAACGTGTGCCAGCTCAGTCACCAGCTGTCCACGTTCCGGACAATAAATACTGTTCTCCAGGCCCTTCATTGGTCACAAAGAACTGCAAGCTTTCCAAAAACCTTATCCAGCTTGTGTTGAAAACCGGATCGTCATTGACGCCAGTGTCAAAGTATCTGACAATTTCTGATGATGCGTTGCTTTGGGAGAAAGTATTGAAGTTCATTTCGTGCGAGTTGGGTGACGTGAGCCTAGAGTTCCCACGTACAACTCCGTACCTTCCCGGTACATTGTCCAATTCGTTGTCTCTGTTGGACAAGAAAGAACACGAATCTTGTCCCAACTGTTGCATGCTTCTTCTGAGCCCAGTTTGCTTGCAACTGCAAGCCAATGAAGAAGAAGACGGAGGCATCGCAGTCAAGTTTTCGGCGGCTTTGGTATCGTACCTCCAAATCCTCTCATTACTCTCCCTCCCTTTATGAAACATGTACAACCACTTCACCATGAACAGTCATGACGCTAGATACCGCCGCACCGCGTCCTTTCTGGTGCTCCTAGCTACTAGCTCCTTGTGCACCGAGAACGTGACTGCCTTCGGCATTGTTGCTCCAAACGGCAAGTCTGCCACCACCAAGTCCAAGTCGGCTCTGGAAATCTCGACTGCCATTCCCCATCCTCTGGCACAACCAGTCGAT